CCGCGCAGCAGCGCGGCCTGGTCTTTGGACGCCCGGACTGGGTACGGCAAGAACGGGCATAATGCCCAACGACAAAAGTTGCCCCAAACCCACAGCGGCCGCTGTTGGGCAGGCGGCCTCCTGTCTCGAATGGGCGCAGGCCGCGGCGGCGTGGACAGCGAGTCCGGTTCAAAACGAACAAGATCCGCTGTTGGGATGTGTACCCGTTCTTTCCGTGCCCATTTCGTTCGTGCAAATGGTCTTGCGGCAGGGCGCCCAGCAGCCGCTGCCTGCGAGCCTGCTGCTCCGCGGCCGAGAGGGCGCGCTGCGCCTTCTGCGCGGGCTCGGCCGCGGCCGCGAGCCGAGGGGCGGCGTTCTGCTGCGGTGCCCTGCCCGACCCCTCTGCGGAGGCTCACGGCCTGGGGCAGACCTGCGCGAAGGCCTCCAGGTCGGTCTGCCCGGGCCCACTGCAGACGCCAGCCAAGCAGGCCTGCCGCGCCCCGGCGAAGGCCGGCAGCCGGCGGTTGGCGAGCCCCTGCGGCCCAGGACCGCCCGCGGCCAGGGGCAGAAATGCCTGCCAGCGCGCGTCGGCTGTCAGTGGCTAGCCAGCGAGCTTCCCCAGGTGCCCGAGAACCGCGTCGTCTTAAGCTTGGCTCCGAGCCTCGCCCAGCAAGCGCGCCCACGCGTGGCAGGGCCGCGCCGTTGGTGAAGGTGCGGGGAGGCAACAGCTCGTCCTGCGCGCGCAGCCCGTGCGCGCGGAGGGGGCGCAGCGTTGCCAAATAGGCATCCAGGTGGCGTTTCGCCGCACCAGGTGCAGCCGTCAGCGAAAAGCTCGCCTGCGCCGGGCCAGGGCTGTCCGCCGCTGCTGCTACGTCGGACACGAAAGTCAAGGCGCTCCCCGCGCGTGCGAGCTCAGCGACCACCGCCCTGGCCATCGTGGCGGCTGGCAGGTGCAAGTCGCGGGGGTGCCACACCTGCCTTTTTGCGCGGGCCGCGCAAAGGCACCCCGCGGCGTAGAGAGCCGGGACCGCGACCCAAGCAGCGGCCAGCGCGCGCGGATTGCCCGCCGCGCGCACGTCGTCGAAGTGCGCGACCACCTGGGCCGCGGGGCCCTCGCAACGGGCCGCCGCTTCCAGCTCCGCGCAGAAAGGAGCCATTGCTACCGCGAAGAGGGCGGGCGACAGGGTGCGCCCCTGGTGCGCCCTGCGCTCGGCACGGACCTCCGCCACTCCTGTGCCAGATAAATGAGTTTCACGGCCGGTCGCGCCGTCGTGCCACGCCGACGCCGCCCGCGAGAGCAACGGGAAGTGTGCGGCTGCTTGAGCGAATAGCGTGCTCCGGTCCAGCTCGTTGAAGGCACGAGCCACGTCCTAGGAGAGAGCGGCGGCCTGGGGCTCCTCCGCCCCCGCGGCACTTCGCGGTGCATCAATTTGACGTCGTTTTTGCAGCCTAGAGCAGCCGCCCAGCCAAGGTGGCTTGCGATGCGCGCCCGGGCGCCTGGCCCTCGAGGATGAAGACGTGAACCTTTACCGGCGCTTGCTTTCCCTCTTCGTGGCGTCGCAGGGCGGTTCAACGCTCGGAGCGAACGCCAGGGAGGCCATGGCCGGAGTGGCGCGGGCACTTCCCGAGGGCGCCCGCCGCGGCGTCAACGGCGTCTGCCTCCCAGGGCGCTGGCGGCGATGCCTACGGGCGGCGGCGGGGCGCGAAGAGCTGGCGCGGCAAATTAGCCTGGCGAAGGACCCGACCATATGCAATTTTGTCCTGGGTGGGGGGGACGCATGCGAACACCCCGAGTCTGGCCTCCGGTGGAGCTCCCTACGTGGCCACGGAACGCTGTCCTGGATGGGAGGGCGCGTGCGAGCAACCCCCACGGGGGCCTTCCGTCCTGAAACGTTGTCCTGGGTGGAGGGGACGCATGCGAACACACCCAGTTGGGCTGTCGGTGGAGCTCCCTATGGGGCCACGAAGCGCTGCCCTGGGTGGGGGGGGCGCATGCGAACACCCCAACGGGGGCCTTCGGTGGAGCTCCCTGTGGAGCCACGAAACGCTGTCCTGGGCGGGGGGGACGCATGCGAACACCTCCACGGGGGCCTCCGGTGAAGTTCCCAATGGGACCACGAAGCGCTGAACGCATGCGAACACCCCCACGGGGGCCTTCGGTGGAGCTCCCTGTGGGGCCACGAAACGCTGTCCTGGGTGGGGTGGGCGCGTGCGGGCACCCCCACTGGGGCCTTCGGTGAGGCTCCTTATGGGGCCACGAAGCGCTGCCCTGGTTGGGGGGGACGCATGCGAACATCCCCACGGGGGCCTTCGGTGAAGCTCCCTGTGGAGCCACGAAACGCTGTCTTGGGTGGGGGGGGACGCATGCGAACACCCCCGCGAGGGCTTTCGGTGGAGCTTCCTATGGGGCCACGAAACGTTGTCGTGGGTGGGGGGACGCATGCAAACACCCCCACGGGGGCCTTCGGTGGAGCCACGAAGCGCTGTCCTGGGTAGGGGGGGCGCATGCGAACATCCCCACGGGGGCCTTCGGTGGAGCTCCCCGTGGGGCCACGAAACGCTGTCCTGGGTTGGGGGGGGCGCATGCGAACACCCCCACCGGGGCCTTCGGTGGATCTCCCAATGGGGCCACGAAGCGCTGCACTGGGCGGGGGGGCGCATGCGAGCACCCCCACGGGAGCCTTCGGTGGAGCTCCCTGTGGGGCCACGAAACGCTGTCCTGGGTGGGGGGGCGCATGCGGGCACCCCCACTGGGGCCTTCGGTGGAGCTCCCTATGGGGCCACGAAGCGATGGTGTGGGGAGAGGGAGGGGATGGATGGTTATGATGGTGACGATGGTGTGGGGAGAGGGAGGGGATGATGATGATGGTGATGGGAGGGGAGGAGGGGGAGGAGGAGAGGAGGAGGTGGGACGCGGGGCGCTGTCTCCCCAAAACGAGGACCCAACACCACAGGATGGTTGGGAAAAAAACAACAACGAGGACGCGGGCCACATTGGGTCCCGTCGCCAGCTTGTTCGGGCCCGCTGCTGCCGTGGCGGCGCGGCCCACCTCGCCAAGTATGATGAATTCGCGCGTCTGGTGGGCCAGTGCCTCTGGGCCGCGTGAACCCGGCTCGTTCGCTGGTTCCGCCACCGACGTGCGCAACGCTGCCGCGAACACCTCGGCGACTGCCGTGTTCAGGCTGGCGGAGGCGGCGGCCCCAGTCGGAACGCCCCCTCCCCACGGCCTCACGCAGGTCGAATCCCGCCCACCAGATTAGTTTGGGCAGCTCGCCCTCCTGCGCTGCTAAGACGTGTCGCGGCGGCAGGGGGTCGTTGGTCAACGAATCGTCGGAAGCCAGGTCCGTCCCTGGAGACATCACCACGCAAGAAATGGACCTCCGCGCGTGCCTCGTCAGGCAGCGCCGCGAATCCCTCCGCGCTGCCAAGAAGGATCCCGTCTGTTAAGCACGCCGGGTGCCGGAAGTATCTGCATGGATTGGCTCGGCTCGAGAGCCGCGCCACCTTCGAGGCAAAACCATTGCGACACGCGTGGCAGATCGCAGCGCTTCTTCGCGAAACCTGCAGGCTGGCGACCCACGTGCGCACCCGCGTACAGCAGCCGCCGCGGGCGGCCGGTCAGCGGCAGCGGCGGCCGGGGCTTCGCCTGGGGGGGCTGCCAATGGCTGCTCCGCCTCGCTAAAAAAAAATGCGGTCAGGGGCGGTTTTCTCCATGCCCACATCGGGGGCACCATCAGCACATAGCGCAAGCGGCCGTCGGCAGCAGCGGCGCCAGGGGTGCCACCAAGAACGGCTGCCGGAGGCGGCGCGCTCGCCGCCGCATCGCGCGAGGAGGCGGGAGCCTCCATGCGCGTCCTCGTAGTCCCACTCGTCCATGTCGCCCATGCCGCCCACGTCGCTGGCCAGTTGTCCCGCACCTGGGGCATCCACCTCCATCCTGCGGCCGCGGCGCCTGGCGTCTATCCTCCGTCCTCCCGCCCCGTCCCGCCCTGGATCCGCGGCCATGGCGGGGCCCGCGCCCCCCCCCCCCAAGCGACACACCGATGGCCAAGCGCAGAGAGCGGATCAATGGGGAAAGGGTCAGTCAGACGGGAATTTGAAATCTGGATGTGCTTGATTCTCCTTCTCTTCCTTTCTCATACATATATATATATATATATGCCATCCTCATATCTATAAGAGAAAAAGCACGTTCCTGCCCACTCCCCGCCCACCCGAGACCTCCGACGACCCCGTCGCTTGCAGCTGGCAACACCCAGACATCTTGACCCCATGCCTGGAGCCACCATCTCTTCATCCAGAGCTTTTTCTGACGGTTCCCAGGCCGAGAAGACTCACCAGGGAGAAATAATTGGAGGAGCGGTGGCAGCAACCTCAGAGAGGAGGACGAGGAAGACGAGGTGGGGTACCCTGCTATGAAGGAAACGTGCTATCAAGAGAAAGCTTGCCCCAACCCCACCCCCCCGCAACCATCCCTCCAATGTAAGAGATGGAGGGACCTCCAGATAACTGAATAATGTGGGGGAGGAGGAACTCCACAGAGGAGGAAGAATAATCCGAGGGACCCCTAGGAAGTCGGAGATGGACTCCACCAGGGAGGAAGAGGAGGAGAAGGGGCGAGCCCCACAGGACCCCATATGAGAGTATCAGCAGGGACAACAGCAGCAGTGGCTCGCTTTTCGACGCCGCGCCCGACACAGACATCATGGCACCTCTGGGCCGTGGCCACGCGCGGACAAGGACGAGAAAAATGGACGACTGAGTGTAAAGACCTGGAGGTGGACCTCCATCTCTAGCGGATTGTATTTCCAGTCCGCGGGCCCGATCAACTCTTGACGCCTTCCCGAGGATCCTTCCCCGAGGGCACCATGGCCCGACAACGGCCCGCAGGGGCAAAAACGCAGTAAAATGGAGCAGCCCAAAACAGACAGCCGAATCCGCGAGAGGTGCAGCAGGAGAGCGGATAAACATCCCGACGGGCTGGAGCGCGTGGCCTGTATTCGGCACGCGGGCTGCGTCCTTATGCGCAGAACTTAACATCACTAACAGAAGATGCCAAGAAAAGAAATCCATCAACTCCACACACAGGACTTCTCGGATCTGCGCGCGAATTTCTCGGATGCGCCGCGGACCCGCCTCCCTGGCGCGCGGAGCACGCCAGGGGCCGCGCCGGAGACGCCGCCAGGGGGGGGGGGGCAGCGCCGAGCCAAGAAATCCGCGCGGACCTCTGAGAAAGTGTGTTGATGCAGCTTGTTGTGAACCGAACACCGCTACTAAAAAAACAATAACACGAGTGCGCCCAGCTTCGAGCCTTGCCCTGGAGAGCGCGCTCTTCGACGCGCGGCGGGCTCGCGAGACCGTGGCTGGTAGGCCACCCTGACGGCTCACGGGGACCCAGAAGCACGAGAGTTCGGCGACGTCAGGATCGGAGGTTGGCGCACCATCGACGATGCATCGGTGACGTCGGATAAGGTCGGGCTCATGATCGCGCCGCATCTTCGATGCAACGGCAATGCGGCAGGATCATCGGACCCCACGTGCTCAGGCTCCACACTAGAACATCTCTCAGGGCATCCAGCTCCAGAGGCACTCAAGGACAGCCGAGATGCCAAAGAGTCGGCCGATCTCGACTGGTTTCTGCCGCGCCTGGAGGTCCCTGGACGCAACATGATACCTCCAGAGACCGATCGAGGACCAAAGCCATCAGGAAAAGAAGTCCTCGAACTTCGAGGATCGCCCAGGAGCAGAAGGACGAGGAGGAGGAGGAGGAGGCGGAGGAGGAGGCGGAGGAGGAGGAGCAGCAGCAGCAGGAGGACGAGGAGGAGGACGAGAAGGAGGAGCAGGAGGACGAGGAGGAGGATGAGGAGCAGGAGGACGAGGCGGAGGAGGAGGAGGAGGAGGAGGAGGACGAGGAGGAGGAGGAGGAGGAGGGGAGGACGACGAAGATGGTGGGAGGGACTGTCTAGTTTGGTTTCCACGTAGCTGCAACCTGTAATTCCTGATGACGGAGCTGGCTGGGACTATGCTAACTCATGCAGTGCCCACACAACTGCCCGATCCGTCGCAGTCCATTGCCCGAGACCGAGGGAATCCGAAAGGGGTGGACTGACTCAGAGCGGGGGAACAATGACCGGGGATCGACGTTACATCGCCCAAAGATCCGCGATTGGCCCCTTATGAGGAAACCTAATGCTCCTAGGCAGGCTGCGTGAGCAAGTGGGAGTCGATACCTTTGTCTACCACCCTGGTCCAATCCCCGCTATTGTTTCCTCTGAGATGCAGTGACTGGGCTACCATACGAAACGCTGGATAAGTAACGAAGGGACTTTTGTGGCTACGGCGAGCGTCGACCACGAAGAGTTCCCCAGACCTGGATTTGAGGACCGTTCCGAAAGCCAGATCCCCACCCTAAGCCCGAAGCCCAAACCGGACCTTGTCTCGGCGTCCTGCCCGCACCCGCTCCATGGGCGTGCTTGGTCGCTCTGGCCCCCCCCCCCCGGTGGCCTCCCGAGAAGGGCGGCCGACCGATCACCCCGACGCCCAAGCAGGCAGGGCGGGAGCAAGCAGGACACTAAAAACTGCGAAACGGGTCTGCACGGGCCAAGAATGGGATAGGGGGAACATCGGCGCGCGCCTGGAGCCCAGCGAACCCAGGGGCGGACGAGAGACAGATAGGGATTGGAGGCGACGACTGGGGGGGTCTGACCTTGTTGGGGCGCCGGAAAATCGGTCAGGAGGGGGGGGGGGTGAGGCCAAATCCGCTCAGAATGGATCCCCAGACCCCTCCCAAGGGTCCATCTGGCATCGTTTTTCACAGTAGGTTCGCTTTTGGTAGCCCTGGGGCTCGAAACCGGCCCCCCCAGGCCGAAACAAGAAAACGTAACCCTTCGTGGTCGGCAGCATCTGCTGCACGAAAATGTGGCAGTGCAGGAGGCAATGAGTTTCCGCTGCGTTCGATTGCCCAAGTTAAAATGGAAGCGCGCCATCGAACTGTAGTCGTGGTCCCAAGCATGCGATGCCTTGATTATTTCTCCCCAGAAGTCCCGACCCGCTTCCCCAGGGCAGTTTTTTCATCGCGCGGTCCGGCGAGGGCCCGCAGAGGCTGAACACGACGAGAAAGCTCCCAACTCTCTTTCGAGACGCTGCACGTCTGGGGTTTGCGCGCCCTTCCGCTGGGTCCTCCCAGCCCTGGGGCTCGGCGATCACCAGGGCGGCGTCGGAGGCGGCCGGGGGTCTGAACTGGATGGGCCCCGAGAACATCCGTCAAGAAGGGGCCAATCCGCTCAAAACTGTGTTCCCGGGCCCGTCCTGGCGCCCATCTGCGGGCCGGATCTCTTCACCCCAGATCCATGTCTGGCGTGCCACCCAGGGGCCCGAAGACGGCCCCTGGAGGCGGACCAGGACACCCAAACCCTCTCGGCTCGACCCCGGTAGCCCAGATCTCGGCCCTCCTGATGTATGGGAACGAGCAATGACATACACATTGAAACTCGGAGGTCCGCGTGGATTTCTTGGATCGGCGCTGGACTCCCTGGGCGTGCCTCCGGCGCTGCCCTGGACGCGCTCCGCGTCCCGGAGGGGGGGGGGTCCAGCGCAGATGTGAAAAATCCGCGCGGACCTCCGATGTTCGTCCCCCTACCCCTCCCTGCTTGCCGGAACCCGTCCTGGGCCACCTCCAGACCCCCAGCCGGCTCCAAGCGAAGTGTTTGGACGCCCGGAATGGGCACGGAAACAATGGGCACAATGCCCAACAGCAAATGTCGTCCCGAACTAACAGCGGCCGCTGTTTGGCAGGTGGCCTTCTGTCTCGAATGGGCGCAGGCCGCGGCGGCGTGGACAGCGAGTCCTGTTCAAAACAAACAAGATCCGCTGTTGGTCTTTGTAACCCATTATTTCCGTGATCCTTAGAACCCCACAATGTTCTAAGAACAATTACCCTGTGACGTACCCAACCCATTTGTATCAATGGAAACGAGGAGTTGGCCGAAACTTGTATGGACAATCAACTTGATGTGTAAGCTACTTGGGAGGCGTCACTGTGCTGGGCCCCGCAAGCAGGCCTCGACAGTGGCGACAGTTTCACAGATCGCAGCCCCCCAGGGATGGCGAGGTCCAATTTGAGTCCGCGGTGAGTACCCACTGTGCTGGGCCCCCCAGCAGGCCTCGAAAGTGGCGACAGTTTCACAGATCGCAGCCCCCCAGGGATGGCGAGGTCTAATTTGAATCTGCGTGTGGGTACCCACTGTGCTGGCCCCTCAGCAGCCCTCGAAAGTGGCGACAGTTTCACAGATCGCAGCCCCCCAGGGATGGCGAGGTCTAATTTGAGTCTGCGGTGGTACCCACTGTGCTGGGCCCCCCAGCAGGCCTCGAAAGTGGCGACAGTTTCACAGATCGCAGCCCCCCAGGGATGGCGAGGTCTAATTTGACTGTGCTGGGCCCCCCAGCAGGCCTCGAAAACCTCGTGAGGTCCAGTGAGTACCCACTGTGCTGGGCCCCTCAGCAGCCCTCGAAAGTGGCGACAGTTTCACAGATCGCAGCCCCCCAGGGATGGCGAGGTCTAATTTGAGTCCGCGGTGAGTACCCACTGTGCTGGGCCCCCCAGCAGGCCTCGAAAGTGGCGACAGTTTCACAGATCGCAGCCCCCCAGGGATGGCGAGGTCTAATTTGAGTCTGACTGTGCTGGGCCCCCCAGCAGCCTCGAAAGTGGCGACAGTTTCACAGATCGCAGCCCCCCAGGGATGGCGAGGTCTAATTGAGTGACTGTGCTGGGCCCCCCAGCAGCCCTCGAAAGTGGCGACAGTTTCACAGATCGCAGCCCCCCAGGGATGGCGAGGTCAATTTGAGTCTGCGGTGAGTACCCACTGTGCTGGGCCCCTCAGCAGCCCTCGAAAGTGGCGACAGTTTCACAGATCGCAGCCCCCCAGGGATGGCGAGGTCCCATTTGAGTCTGCGGTGGGTACCCACTGTGCTGGGCCCCTCAGCAGCCCTCGAAAGTGGCGACAGTTTCACAGATCGCAGCCCCCCAGGGATGGCGAGGTCCCATTTGAGTCTGCGGTGGGTACCCACTGTGCTGGGCCCCCCAGCAGGCCTCGAAAGTGGCGACAGTTTCACAGATCGCAGCCCCCCAGGGATGGCGAGGTCCCATTTGAGTCTGCGGTGAGTACCCACTGTGCTGGGCCCCCCAGCAGGCCTCGAAAGTGGCGACAGTTTCACAGATCGCAGCCCCCCAGCTGGCACGCAGCGACGAGCGAGGCAAAAGGCAAGGGGGAAGAGAGGGACGGGAAGGAAGGAAGGAGACGCGCGAGCAGTGCTCTATTCAAATTGAGAACCCAACGCAGGAGGGTTGGGAAAAACAATGTTCTTAGAACCCGATGTGTGAAAACAAGACGGTCCCGGCCAGACATGTTTTAAGAACATTTCGCAGAACCCACAAACAGTTCCTTAGAACGTCCTTTGGTGGGGCGAGAGGCGAGCCAGGACGCCTCGCCACTGCTCGACTCCAGACCATCAGCTGGCTCCAAGTGAGGTGGCCCCGCCCATGCCCGCTCAAGCGGCGGCGGGCGCCGTGCCCGGGCCCCCGGCGTCCGAGGCTCCGCCGCTCCACCTCTCCGGGGCAGGCTTGACGACGCCGCCGCCGCCAGGGCGACGAAGCCGGCGGCGGCGGCGACGGCCCAGACATGCAACTCGGAAGGACGAGCAACCCATGTCCTCCTCTTCCTCCTCCTCCATTTCCTCCTCCTCCATTTCCTCCTCCTCCATTTCCTCCTCCTCCTCCTCCTCCATCCTCCGCCCTCCTCCCTCCTCCTGCTCCTCCTCCTTTTTTACGTTAGCCCGACTTGAGGATCTAGCGTGTAGCGCTCTCGAGCGACTGGAAAAGTGAAAAAAAACACGACTCGGGGCACTGGTGCCTGGCGGGCGCCGCAGACCGCAGAACACTTGTAAAGAAAGAAAAAGGAAAAACGTAGAACAGTCAGTAGGCGCCCGCCAGGTACAGGAAGCATAATGTACCTTTTAACGGGTCACAAACCAACAGTATATCATAATGACAACAGAATCATACCCCCCCCGCCATGTTGTAAGGTACTTGCTGCCTCCATGCAGGGTTGCAGTGAAGCGTGGTTGAATCTGAAGGAGTGGCGTGTGCACGTGGCTGGTTTAGGTCTTACTGGCTGGCCAAAAGTATTCGGTAACTGCACACGTTGCCTCGGGGCGGTAACAAAAAGAGCGGTCTTGTAGTCCCTTCGCGACCCCCTCCGACCATAAGGACCCTACCTCCACCCGTCATGCTTTGAGGTACTTGCTGCCCCAATGCGGGCTGCAGCGAAGCTTAACTGAGTCTGGAGAACATGAGCGTGTGCGAGTGGGTGGCACAGGTATTGCTGTCTCGCCGAAGTATGGCACCTGCACGGGCTGTCTGGCTCAGAAGTGTTGAAATATTCGGGCTGCTACCCTTGCACAATAATGACGTCATTCGCACCCGCCGCCCACACAAGTTAACCCTAACACATCCACCCCATAGGTCACATGTTCAAGTACGTGCTGCCTCATTGCGGGCTGCAGTGCAGCTTCAGCTGCGTCTGGAAAACTGAGCGTGTGCGATTGGCTGGCCCAGGTCTTGCTGGCTAGCCGAGGTATTAAGCCACTGTACGGGTCGCCTGGCTTAAAAGAGTTGCAGCTGTAGGGATGCTACACTTGCGCATCCTCCTCCTCCACCTCCACCTCCACCCCGATATCACACCCTCCCCTCGTCAAATACATACATACATGCTAGCGGTACGCAACATAGAACAATCGTTGATTCATGGGTCAAGAACCGGTGACTACAAACACCAAATGAAGGCTGGCCATGGGCGTAGCCTTAGCCCTCGATAAATGCCTGTACCGCTTGTGTTGGGGCAGTCTAAGTACTGGTGATGTAGAATAATTGGCGCTACGACGCCAAAGGGCTGAGGCTGTCGCAGGGTCATCCAGTGCCCAATAAGTCTACAGCCTCCTCCAAGCTCGTCCCCATAGATGTACCCACAGCCCGAGGAGACAAGAACTGTGCCGCTTGTGTTGGGCGCTCTAAATACTGATGCTATGTTAACAGCGCGGCGTCTCGACGCCAAAGGGTTGCGGCTGGCGTGAGGTCATCTGGCTTCTGTAGGTCCTCCGCGAACGGCACACTAAAAGTTGGCGAGAAAGGCCAAGCGCCATTGGCAGAGTGTAGCAGTTCTTGGGTTGCTGCCCAAGGTTGTTGGGCTTACCCCAAACCTCTTTGGTCCCAGGACCCTTGTGCTTTTTGTAGATTTGCTTCGGGTTTAGCACGAACCTTTGTCAGTGCTAGAATATATCAGGCTGGCTCGTGCAAGAACGGTTGGCCAGTGTGATCCCAATTATTGGGCTGCTACCCGTGGGAGAAGAGGCAACAAAGATGAAAAAGAAAGGGTGCCTGCAATGCGCTGGCAGTGGTTGAGGCTGGCATTGAGGCTGGCCAGTGCAAAATGTAATACAGACTGCAAACAGTGCTGTTGCAAATGTCGAGCACCCCCTGAGAAAATTGGACTTGAGGTTATTCCCTCGCGGGCAAACTGCTCGCGCATCCTCACGCTTTGGCTGTGGCCCTTGGTTAAACGTGCGTTGAGATGAAACAGGTAAAGCGAGCAAATCCAGTCAGTGTGCAATTCTTGGGCTGCTACCTTGGTCAGCAAAACAAATTCTCAGCTTGCCAGGTATGTGTCGCTGCTCTGAAACGGTTCGCAGAAGGTGTGAATGCAACGTAGAGCAAGCAGCAACGACTGAAGAGGTGAGAGAGCACGGGCCGTGAGCAACCGAAGGGGAAGATAACATATACCCTTTGCATCCAAGGGATGCACAGGGTATCAACTGTCCCTGTCAGCGGGTACGGTACGGCCCCAGGGGGAGAAGAGGTCCAAGCTGCCTTGCTTGGTTAGGTCAAATGACCTGTTCAAAACAGCGGGTGAGGTAGGTGGAGCAAGTGGAGAGACGTTGACGACAGCAGGAGTGACAATAACAGTATTGCACGGCCGACGTGCTGCACCCTCTGAAAGACCCCTCCCACCACAAGAATACTGGCGGTGCAACGCATGCGGTACAACATGCTATTGGAGGTACAGATGTGAAGGCAAGCAACGGAAACAGACCTTCCTCCTCCTCCTCCTCCTCCTCCTCCTCCTCCTCCTCCTCCCCCTTCTCCTACTCCTCCCTCCTCATCCGTCCTCCTCTTTCTCCTTCTCCTCCTCCTCGCAGGTGGGGTCTAAGGAGATGAGATGGGGTTGGAGGATCGCGCCGCATCGCTGGCGCATCTGCGATGCAACGGCGAAGCATCGACGACGTCGGCGATGTACCGTCGCAGTCGGCGCGGAGAAATTCGGGCCCGCTGGGGCGACGAGGCCGGCGGCGACGGCGACAACCAAGTCATTTTTTGTCGGCGGCGATGGCGGTGGTCTGTTGAGATGGCGGGTCACGCAGGGCACGGGGCACACTAAGAGCAGAAGGATGGAGGAGGCCAGAACCGTCGAGGGTCGACGGGGCGTGGGCGCACAGACGACCCAGACCTGAAACGTCTTAAGCAACACTTTCTTGTGGATCAGCGGCGAGCTGGGTCGAGCAGGCGTTGGGCTGCATCGGCGGAACACGCAGGAACTAGAGGCCTCCTGGATGGGGTCGGAGTAGATGGGGTCGGAGGATCGCGCCGCATTTTCGATGCATCGGCGATGCATCGTCGACGTGGGCGATGCATCGGCGACGTCGACGTGAAGCAACTCGGGCTCCGCATCGAGCCGCATCGGCGATGCATCGACGATGCAGCGCGATCCACCGACCCCATCTGCTCCGAGCACAGCGGAAGGGGGAGACAGGAGGGGAACCGGGGGGAGGAGGGCAGCGAGACGGCCGGAGCGCTCCCAGAACGTGAAGAACTTCGGGATGTGCCGAGGCCAGGCTTGAGAGTTCCACGCGGTCGGTGTGGGCGCAGGGCCTGAACCAAAGCAGGGCGGAGGCTTTCCGTAGGTTTCAGCGAGGGGGGGCCCTCGCTGGGCCGCGGGGCCGTCAAAACTGCTGGCGCAAAACATGTCCGCATCCACGGTCTCGCGGGCCGGGCCCCTGGGTCGCGACCCTGCGGATACGGAGCGTCTTTGTCCGCGGACGCCCCGCGCGGAACGTATCCGTGCAACCGCGTACCCGCGGGATCGGGCCCTGGGCCCTGGGAAAAAAAGTCGTGACCTCTGGGGACCGCGTATTTCGGGGATGGACAGACCTCCCTTTAGTAAAGCGTGGTTTAGTGAAAACGACCTCGGGTCCAAACCTGGTGGGCGCAAGCCTGGAAAATAACGACCGCGGCACCCTCTCGAGAACCGAAACTGGACAATTCACTAATCGACGTGTCAGGGTGGGGGTTCTGTCCACCCCCGAGTATTGAAGAACATCAAGGCATCGCTTGTTTGGGCAGGGCGACAGCGGCGTCGACGACGGCGAGGGCGAGGGCGACGCAGAACCCGGGCGAGGGCGACTGCGACGACCCTGCGATGACTGGCGTCGCGATTGTCGCCCAATTTCGGGCCCCGTGGACACTCACGGATCGGTCTGGCTCGAGAAACGGCGCAGGAGGACGGAGTTTATCCATGGAGTCGGACTTGAATGGACAGGACACGCGAGAGGACACAAGACACAAGACCCTTCCGAGGGCCACATTGCCACGGGGAATGCAGGAGGCATGGGTCGCGAGGCACAGGACGCAAGGGTACCTAAGGTTACCCGTGATTGGGCAGGGTCGACCTCCTAATCCGGGCCGACTGCAGGGCTCCAGTCGTGACTCCTCGCGATGCTGCAACAATTCCGCAACGTCAGATCTCAGGGGAGGGCGACGAGGGCGGGGGCGCCGCCGACCACCCACGACTGGGGGAGCTGGGTCCCTAAGAGGGAGCCCATCATGTCGACGATCCCTCGAGAGGGGTGTCGAAACCGATGGGTATCCCAGAGGGGTAAGGGCGACGGCGAGGGCGGCAAGGGCGGCGGCGGCTTCGGCAGCTGCAAGGGGGCGAGGCTCAAGGGCCGAGCGCGGTTCGAGGATCTGGGGTCGAGGATCGGGGTGCGAGCAGCGGGGGTCGGTGATCGAACGCGCTTTCCAAGGTGCGAGCATCTGGGCGCGAGGACGGGGGACCGAGGACACATGGCGCTTCCAGGTTCCTCGGGAGCGACCTCGCCGCGGCAAGATCCGCCTCGACTTCGGACATTGGGTCGGGGTCGGTCGCCGCCGTGAGAGAAGCAAACCATTGCATGAGCATAAACTTCCGGAGGTCCGCGCGGCGGAGGTCTTGGATCAGCGATGGGCCCCCCTGGCGGCGCACCAGGGCGTCGATCCAAGATCTCAGCAGCGCGGAGCTCCGAAAGTCATGTTCATGCATCTTCTCCGACTCGAAAATCGGGGAAATCCGATCATCCTTTGGATGCCTGGGGACCTGGACTCCCACCTGTGGGAGGGCCTCGGAGCACAGACGTGAAAGCCTCGTCGGCCAAGGAGCTGTCGGACGCTTGAGAGTCTATACTCCGAATCCCTCCGCCGAACTCTCTGGCTCTTTGGCTGGCCAAACGACGTGGTGTACACATCGAGCCCCTCCGGAATCTGTTATCCTTCGGATGCCTGGGGCAAGTTCGCGTCGTGACGATCCTGGCGTTGGTTTCTGAAACCGCGTCGACCGTTCACCCCTATTTACATGCAGAATTTCCAATCACCAGATCGCTCCATGTGAGCCGATTCTGAGCCACTGGCGTCGTCCAACCTCGAACGCCCGCGGCGGGGTCGCCGCCCCAGACATGCGATATCTTGATGTTGTCCATACGCGGTCCACGGAAGTCCCGACCTTCCCCAGGGCTGGCTGTACATCCCGAGTTGCTTTTGACGTTCCCAGAGCCTGGCGAGGTCCCACAGAGGCCGAAAACAGCCAAACACCTCCCGCCGTGATTCTTTCAGACGCGACCCTGCCGTAAGGAGCTGCACGCCACCCCCTCGCCACCGCGTCCCCAGCGCGAACGAGTCCCCACGTCCGAGCTGGGGAAACCGAAGGGTCCGATACCGCTACTCCGTGGACCTCTCCCAGGGTGCGCCCTGAGCCGGATCTCGAGGCGAATCCAGCAATGGCGACCATGACCTCAGATGAGGAGGCCCAGACAAGCGAGAACGAGGCCAGGGCAGCAGTATCGGTCTCGCGTCCCCACTTTGGTTTCCGGCCATAACTCGAGCCTCCATCGGCCGTTCCGAACGATCCGGCAACCCCTCAGAATGCTCTCGGCGAGGCGCAGCCGCTGAAGAGCACCCCGAGGCCCGAGGCTGAAGAGCAACTGGGATCGGCGAAGGCGCCCGAACACCTCAAACCTACGTTACCCCCCTTACTTGAGCGGGGACCGACCGTCCCGGCATTCCTATAGGCCTACCACGACATGTTCTGAGAATCCAAACATGCTCTAAGAACATGGACAGTGTTCCCAGAACATAACCCCGACGTGTCAAAACGAGACAGCCCCAGCCAGAAATGTTCTGAGAACAGCTCGCGCAGACCACGAAAAGTCCTTGGAACATTCCTTGGTGGGCCGAAAAGGCGAGCCAGGACGCTTCGCAACTGCTCGACCAACGTTGCTGCTGACCTCCTCGGACGAGCCCCGCCCGCCACCCCGTCGTCGCGAGCCGCCGCGCGGCCGTGGACCCCGGGGCCGGCTTCTCCGGCCTGGCGCCGGACCGCCTGGCGCGAGCCGCCGCGCCGCGGGCGAGCGGGGGAGCGGCAGCCCCCCCCGCTGGTCGGCAGGACGGGGCGCGGGGGAAGGCCGAGGGAAGCGGGGGGAGGAGGAGGAGGAGGAGGAGGAGGAGGAGGAGGAGGAGGAGGAGGAGGAGGAGGGACAGAAGGGAGAAGCGGGGGAGCAGGAGGAGGAGGAGGCTCATCGCGGATTTGTTGAACGATCTTTGGCGGGAGAAATTCGTGCTTCCGACGATAGCGACGACGGGGGTCCTCAGTGGATGCACGAGTGGGAGAGATCTGGCCTGACCTACTCAGCTTACAGGTGGGGTGCTGACCCAGGCATCCGGCGTCTCGACAACATCGAGGCAAAGGTTTTTCATAGTTCTCGGCCTTGCGGGTCCCTCACCCGGCCTTGGGGCCGTCGAAAGACGGCTCGGGATGAGAAGACGGTCCTGCAAAAATCGTCGAGAAGTCGGAGGCCCGTGTCTCGAAAAAACGAGACATCTGACGTGTGGGAAGGGGACAGGGGGTGATCAGTGGATGCAGATGTGGGATAGCTCTGGCCTAACCTACATAGCTTACATGGAGAAAGAAGCAGCTACATAAACATGGGAACATACGGAGGTCCATACGGATTTCTTCAATGGGCGCTCGACACCCCTCCCCGGCGCGCAGGGCGCGCCAAGCGATGCCAGAGGCGCCGCGAGGAGGCTCCAGCCCCGATCCCAGAAATCCGCTCGGACCTCCGAAAATGTATGCTTCTGTCGTTGACTGATCCCCGAATACACATGGGTCATTCCCGAATGCCGCTGGGCTGCCCGTGCTCCACGTGGCTTAGGGGGGTTCAGATAGATACCAAACGGTTCGCACATGCTCCGTTTGGCTCATGGGGGGGTGAAGACGTCTCCGGCATAACTGGGCGGAGCCCACTTGGCCGGGATCGTCAAGCCCGCTCAAGCCATGTGGGGCATGTGTCGGCCCCCGCGCCCATCCCCGTGGGCAGGCTCGGGAGGCGGGCCCCCGAGGTGTCGGCGTCGCAGACTGTCGGCAACCTGTTCGCAGCGACGACCAGGGACGCCGGACGGCCTGGCTCCTCCCGCGACGGACGACGGCGACGGACCACGGACGACGACGAGGCCGCCCATGGACGACTATGGACAGACGAACGGACAAGCCCCTGAGATGCCGGCGGCGCAGCTTGCTCACAACGGACGGTCCAGAGCGACTCGGGAGAAACCGGCCTGGGGAAAAGGGTCGGAACTTTGGGGGATCGCGAGTGGGAAGAATCAAGACATCTCATGCCTGGGGAAGGCGACGGCGACGTCGACGACGGCGAGGGCGACGGCGACGTGACCCTGAGATTCTGGCGTCGCGATTTGTTCGTACCAAGCGTTTTCGCCAAGTTTCGGGCCCGGGGAACCTCACAGATCGATCCGACTCGAGAAACTGCGGCAGAAGAATGGCCGTCCAGCCACAACTGGTGGAGCTGTGTCCCTTAGCCACCCCGAGGGAACCCATCGCATCGACGGTCGCTCGAGGGGGGTTTCGAATCCGAGATGGATCCCCGAGAGGAGCGAGGCCCGTAGCTCCTCGAAGTTGAGGCTCGTCTGGATGAGGCCCAGGGCTCCAGCCGATTTTTTGTTCGGCTGTATCTTTTGCTTGGTCGATGTTGTGGTGGTTGATCGAGGTTTTTTTGGGGCTGGTTGGACTTTTGTGTGGTCGATGTGGCAATGCTTGTGACGTCGTGTCTCAAGAGCGGCGCGAACCTCTGGTGCCTAGGCATTTTCCCCTACTGGTGGCCCTGGGACCGTCGCTCATGTCTGTTTTGCTTTCCTGTGGAACTTCCGAGGCTCCACGAAACTGCCCCACGTTGCAAGACCACCACACAAGAAATCCCGATGTTAAGACAGTATGCGTGGATTCTAACTGTGGAGACCACCACTGGTCCCCCACACTTGCAATCCGTTCGGCATATTCCAACACAAGGAAACTATGTTGTGAAGTCTGTTGCAGAAGGGTTGTAAGTGTGGACAACGAGCAAGATGGACATCACATCTGCCACTCGTATTCCCTACGCTATCTCACTTCCTCCGAGAGGCAACAACAACTGTGTAAGGTGCTACATGATATGTATATGTTGCTTCCCTGTGAAGCCACATTATGTTGGCAAGATCGCCGCAAGCATCCCTTTGCACTTGTTACTCTTGCTGATATCGATGCAGATGATGCTTGGTGATGGGGGATATCTAAAATCATCCTCTTTACAATTCACCAAACAATGGGTCGCACGGGGGACCCCTCCCATTTGCGGAGCTGGGGGGAGTCCCCCAGTTTTTGCCTGATGTCCAGGATGTTTAGGGGGACGGCGAATTGCAACCTTCCCCCTCCCCCTCTAGCGACCACAGAGCGCGCTCTTTCGTCCTCCTCATCCTCCTCATCATCCATCCCTACACTCCCCACTGCTCACCATCCACCTCCTTCTGCATAGGAGGATGCAGATTCACCCATCCCCTCTTCTTTTCTTTCTCATTTTGCGCCTCCCTCACTCCTTCGTCGTCGTCCTCCTCCTCCTCCTCCTCCTCCTCCTCCTCCTCCTCTACCCCTCCCTTCCATCCTGAGAAAGATACATACTCCACCTTCCTTCCCCTCCACCTGCTCCTTCTCCCACTACCTCTCGCCATCGCTTGGACGTCCATGTCCCGTGTATTGTTCGGTTCCGTGCGTGTATGCTTCCGCCACACGACCTGGAAGGCTCGTCGATGGCCCCCCCGAGAAAAATTTAAACGTTCGAGCGATACCAAGACCTACCCTCCCACTCCTCAGACTGATCATCCCTACCGCATCGTCTGCTCGAGAGGCGCACCAGGGGCCCCGAGACGGCCCCCGCCCTGCTGAAATGGCCGGGGCGGGCGGCGTGGGCGAGGAAGCAGCGCATGATGTCGCAAGTCACCCAATCGGGGCTCAAGATGCGGCAGGAGGAAGTGGAGGAGACGGTGGAGGAGGAGGAGGAGGACGATGAGGAAGAGAAACAGGAGGAGGAGGACGAGGAGGAGGAGGTCACTCGAACAGGGGTCAGTCAGAGCAGCGGATCTTGCAGGATCCTGCCGGGCCAGCGGTGCACTGACCTGGGCTTGGGTGCAGGATCCTGCAGGATCAGATCTTGCATCTGACAATCAAAAATATGAATTACCGCTTGTTTTCATGTTTTCGATGCGCGAAGCGCTGTTATGGTCGCGCCCCCGCATGTGACCGCCCCTCGATATTCGGGCCATAGATCGGGCCTCCTGCTGCCATTCGGGGCGATTTCGGCACCTGCGGAACGCCCTCAACTGCTCGAAACCGCCACGGGGCACGACAATTTTCGAAATATCCAGAACACCTTCGCAAACTAACGTTGCGTCGGGCATGTCCCCCTACAGGCGGGTCCTGTAGGAAAAAATGCAAATAATCATAACGATTCCAACATAGGAATAAATATAAAAAATCGTTCCCGCATAATTGTTGAGAAAACTTTTGAATTTTCCTCCTGTAAAGGGACGCGCCCGACTTGAAAGTAGCGGCACCGATTAGACCTCGCGTCATGAGCCTTGCGAAGTGCCCGCGTCGCGCCGCCAGGAGGCCTGGGCCATGCCTCCCCCGCGGAGGCCCGCACGAAACACGACGCCCGCGCGCGCCCGCCCGGGCCGTGCCAGGCCATGCGGGCGCCCGCAGGGCAGGCCGCCCGCGATCCTGCGAGGCAGCCAGACTTCCGACGACCTGCGATCAGGTGAAGGCATTGTTTATATATCTATGTACAACTGTGAATGACAAAACAAAAAACAAGGGCGCAAAAAGGGCCCGTGCACGCACGAGAATTCCTACTGCTGGCCGAACCCTAGACGCCGGCGCTGGGACCCGCCGCCGCCGCCCGCTTACCTCGCGCCGCCGCGACCATGGCCCGCGCCTGCGCAAGGTCGACGGACCCGCGCGCGCGAGCCATGGCCTTCAGGGGCGGCATGATGAACCCTGCTTCGCGCTCGGGGCGGGCGGCGACTGGCGCCCGCTGCGCTGCCACCCTGCCCACTGCAGGCAGCACCTCGGCCTGCGCCGCCTCGTTGGCACTGGCCCGCTCCGTTGGATCAGCCGCGCCGCTGTCGCCTCCCAAGCCTTGCGCCACTGCGCCCAGCTTCTCGGCCCACTGCGCCCTGGTGGCCGCCATGGGGGCCACTGGGGTGCCAGGGGGCCCCCCCTTCTGCAAGTCCGCCCAGGCCCGGGCCCGCGACACCTGCCGCGGCCTGGAGGCCGCCCCGCAGCAGGCCTCGCGGAGCCCCTTCCACGCCATCTCGGGCGTCCTGGCGCACTTGAAGCTCGCCGTGCAGACGAGGAACGGCGCCTCGGACCCGCCGAGGACCTGGCCTCGCATCAGCTGGTGGCCGTTGACTAGCCAGGGCTCTCCTTCGGCACGCGGAGGAGGCGGCGCCGGCGCACTCGAAGGAGAGGCGGGCGGGGGCGCGCGGGCGCGTGGCGGCAGGCCTCGCGGCCGCCACCGCGGGCCCGAGCGCCGCCAGCGAGGCCGAGACCACGAAGAAGCCTTCCTTCTCGCCCAGGGGCCCAGGAAGGTCGGCAACTGCCAGCCCCTGCGGTTCCAGGTTCCAGTCTCCTCCGACAATGAAGGGCTCGCCCGGCTCATTCAGGAGCGCCTTGAGGACGCCCGGCAGCTAGGTTCAGCCATGAGAGCCTGGCCGAGTGCTCGAGGTAGACGCTGGCCACTCTGCGCCAGGATCCTGGACGAGAGGTCGCCCCAGCGCTGGTCCAGCTGCGCCGCGCGTCGGTAGCTGGCGGTCAGGGTGGCCGCGCCCGAAGAGACCTCCCGCGCCTTCAGCCCCGCGCGCTTGCAAGGGCTCAGCGCTGCCTGGAACCCGCTGCGCCTGCGCTGGCCCTGCGCCGCTGAGGCTGCCTCCTCGGACATGAAACTGGCCCCCGTGCACGAGTAAGAAATCGTCCTGGGCCCCCTCGTCTCGCAAGTGCTCGATGGCCGTCCGCGTCTAGGCCCGCGAGGAACCGCTGATGGACGCGATGCTCGCCGACTTGAGCTCGCGGGCGACCAGCTCGGCCAGCGCCGGCACCCGCGCTCCAGTCGACGGGCCAGCCCCTCCCGGGCTAAAGGTGTCGCTGAGCTCCTCCGACAACGCCGGCGGCGCTGCGGAGGGCGGCGTTCAACCGCGCAGCGCGTGATTGGAACTCTTTCTGCGGCGGGCGCGCCGACTAGTATATCGTTAGGGCACGGTCCGCCACGGCGGTATATCGTTGTAAATGTCGCGCGCGGGGGCGATGCACTCGCTGATCGCAACAGCCGACTTGCTTGTCAGTGCGCTGGCACAACGCAATGCAATTTTTAACGTGCTCAGCCGAGCCGCTGGTTGTCCCCAGCAAATATACGCACTGGGCGGAGGCGAGGCCATCGCTGTCGGCGGGCCCGCATCAGCCGCCGCCTCCACCAGGTCCTGTACCGCGCCAGGCTGCACCCGCGGCCATGGGCCCGCCGCTGGCGGCCGCCTCTCGTCCCCCCCGCGCTCTGCGGCTGGCTGGGCGGGCGGCTCCAGGTCGATGTCCGGGTCGGAGTCGATGTCGCCGCCGTCCACGAGGCAGTCGTCGCCCCACCTCTTCCGAGGCTGCGCCGTGGCTTCGGGCTCCTGCAGGGCAATCATTTCTTCCACCGCTTGCAGTGGCTGCGTGGTGAGCTTCCAGGCCCTGGCGAAATTGCCCACCATGATTGCCGTCGGGGGCGCGCGCAGCTGCAGGAAGAGCCCTCGCATGGCCTCCAAGTCGCCATCAGAGACCCGCAGCCGTTCATGACTCGCCTTGGCCTTCGCAGCCTCCTCCTCCAGCGACGTGAGGCGGTCCTGCGCCTCCCGCTGGCGCAACTCGGTTTTCTCCAGCCGGTCGTGCGCCGCCTGCAAGGCCGTTTCCGCCGCGGACACCTCGGAGGCGGCAGTGGCAAAAGCCTTCCTCGCCCCCGCCGCCTTGCGCTCGGCCTTGCCGACCGTGTTGCCTGCCCTGCGCAGCCTGGCCGCTGGCGAAAAGCCCGTGGCCGCCGCGGCCCAGGCTGGGGAAGGCCGCCAAATGCTCAATGGCCCGCTGTATTTCCTCCACGCGGGAAGGCTTCGCTGCGGCTGGCGCGGCCTTGCGGCCATCTCCCCCTCCTGGTGCGGCGGCGCTGGCGGCAGCGGCAGAAGCAGCTGCGGTGCGTGCCATGCTGCGGCCCCCCTTGCCTTTGCCAGTCTGGGCGAAGCCCTCGGGGTCGTGTTCGGGTTGGCTGGCCGCGCGCCTGACCGCCCACGGGGGGGGGCCTGGTCTGGCAGCCGAAGCAGCGCAGGCGGGTGCAAAAGCTCCACTGCCCGCGCGAACACCACCAGAAGGAACCGCAAACGAGCGCCAGCGCCATCACGGCCGCGCGCCAGCCATCTCTGTCCGTCTCTCTTTATCTCTCTCTCTCTCTCTCTCTTTTCCTCTCTCTCTCTCTCTCTCTCTTTTTCTCTCGCTCTCTCTCGCTCTCTCTCTCTCTCTCTCTCTCGTTCCACCGAAATTCACTTTGGCCCTCGGCGCAAAGCCCCTCGCGCTCGAAACGCCGCGGACGACCTGCGATCGTCGGGCGCTCCGTGGCCTTGAGCCAAAAAATGCCAACGGACGTATGCTCCACCCGAAAGGCCCGTGGAAATCCCCCGAGATCCTCTTTTGAATGGGCATGTTCGCCGGTCTGAGGGCCCCTGCAGCATCTCATCTCGACCTGGCTCGAGAGATGCGCCGGGAATTTGGGGTCTCGGACCCATGATTTTTGGCGATATTTAATTCGCGACGACGGATCTCAGGAACTGAACCCCTTCCCCGAGCGCGGTGCCCCGTCCCGAATCCACTTTTGTGGGATGGCCCCGGGGCCCGCGAAGCCCCCCCTCCCCTCCCCGAAGGCCGACCAGGCGAACGGAGCCAGATCCTTCAGAGGTCCGGGAGCAGTAGGCTCGCCCGCGCTGGGAGGGGCTCGGAGCATACACCAAATCGCATGGTCAGCTTAGGGGACTCGGCTAGTCGGTCAGTAGACACCGCAGCTGCTCAGCCTGTGGGATACTGGAGCGTCCATAATCACATGCAAAATCGCTCGCCGAATCCAGAGGCCCCCTGGCCGAACAAACGACGTGGCGTAGAAGAAGAAAAATCTGCATTCGAAGAAACTGTCGGAGTTCCGCGCAACTTTCTTGCATCGGCGATGGACCCCCCCACCCGCTCCCGGCGCGCGGAGCGCGCCAGGGGTGACGCCAGGGGCGGCCAGGGGGACCTGGCGCCGATCCGAGAACTCCGCGCGGAGCGCCAGCTGGTCTCCTTCGAATACAATCGAGGACGGCGAGAAGGTCTGGTTCAAAAAGAGTGATTTCGACGGCTGCTGGGGCGCCTCAGGTCGTGCTGGAATACCTATAAGAGTCCAGCGAAACCAACCTTGTCCACCGAACCCTTCCGGCAGCCTGCGATATAGCTGCGCCGAGCTCGTCTGGCACCCCGGGGCACAGACCGCCGGCCGCCGCGCGGCCGGCTAGGCACGCCAAGCGTGCGCGCGCCGCCCGCGGCCCGGGCGCCCGCGCGCAGGCCGCGCGCAAGGCCGCGCTGCGGCGTCCGCTCCGCCAGCCTGCGCGGGCTGCGCCGCGGCTGCCGACGCCGAGGGCGGCACGCCCCGCGGGGCGCGCCGGGGCAGCGGGCAGTCCGCCGCCGCGGCGTGCCGCGGCCAGCTGCTTCTCAGGCTGGAGGCCGCCCCGATGAAGCCCGAGTAGCTTGAATGGGGTCAGAAGACCGCGCCCCGTTGGCAGTGCATCGCCGATGCATCGGCGATGCGTCGGCGACGTCAGCGATGCATCGGCGCCGTCGGCGTGGAGAAACTCGGGCTCCACCACGTGCCCGATGTATCGGGGATGCGGCGCTATCCTCCGACCCCATCTGCTCGGGCCCCCTCTGGAAGGCCTGGACAAGTGGAACCGTGCGCGGGGTTCGCGGTGCTCGTCTTCCCGGGGTCGCCCCCAGGGAGAGCGCCCTCCTGGTGCGAAAAGGTGCCCCAGTGAAAGGCTTTCAGCCTTCGGGAGTCTTGCGAGTCTAAGGAGATTGAGTCGATTTGCGCGTTCGTGGGTGATCGCGTGCGTACGACTGGATGCCTGCCTGTGCACGAGCACGTGCACGTGCGAGCTAGACATGACGAGCCACAATGCCCCCCTGACTGTAAAAAAAATGGCGGTGCCTCAATGACTTACGAAGGTCTCCCGCTTGAGGCTGCCCCACGATTCCCAGAGGGAAACCTCTGGACGGCCAGGACACCCAAAGAGGTTTCCAGGACGCCCCCAAGCAGAAGGGCCCCAAGAGCCTGGAGAGTCCGAAGAACCCAAGATGGCAGACGATCACAAAACACCCCCAAGAGAGCAGAAACTAAACTCAACATCGTATTGCGTTGCTGCTTATTCATGTTGGCCCCTGTGTGCGTTCACAAGATTTCCTCAGAGCGCTCAAGACAGCCCCGCCCCAAAGCCCGCGAGATGGCCCAAGACGGCCCGAAGGCGACCCAAACAGACACTACAATTTCGAACAAGTCGCCTATGAGGGCCAAACAGGGGCCCACAGATGCGTCCAGGGGGCGACCAAGATGGCCCCAGGAGGCCCCAAGCTAGCCTCAATGTGAACACCCAGGACGGCCACAACGCTGTCCCAACACGGCCTCCATGTTGCTCAGCATGGGGCCATCGTCGAAGGGTGCAGCACTTCCTATCCGCCGTCCTCTGCGAAACTCCCACAAGGCCTGGAGTCCTAGACGGGTTTGGGCACCCTTCCAAAATAAAGATTGCCAATGTTGCCCAAGGTTGCTTGCGAGATGGTCCACGACAAGCCGGGATGGGCCAAGATGGCCTCGAAGACGATGTCCAGACGGCCGCGATGGTCCCGAGAAGGCCCAAGAGGGAGAAATGAGGACTCCCAAAAGGGCCTCAAGAGGCAATGCACATAGGTGCTCCGTGACCGGAAGACGACCCAAAAATGCCCCGAGCAATCCACCCCAAACGACCCCAAAGAAACCCAATAAAGCCGCAAATAGAACCCCAGGAGGCCCCGAAGAAGGCCCCGAAAGCCAAAGAAGAGCCCCGAGACAGCTTCAAAACGGCACCAGAGGGTCTCTCCCCAGTGATTACCCGGTGTTCAACCTGACGGCTGGGGGAACACGCAGTCCACTAGCGTGGCCTCATTTTCGCTCGACATTTCAGGGCACGAGCGTTTGCAAAAGGCAGTGGGCGGCGGTGACTCGTAAAAAGCATATCTGATAATTGCCGGTATTTGCCTCCCACCAAGACACCTCTCCTCGTTGCGCCCAAGACCGGCGCGCCGCAACAAACATAATCTTCCCAAGGTGCTGAAAGGGTCAGCGGAATCCTGGCTGCTGGAAAACCGGCTGCTGGAAACCCAACTGTCGGAATCCTTGCTGTGGGAAGCCGCCCATGCCCAGCTGATGCAACTGCAACACAGGCGATGGTGATGGTGATCTGGCTGGTGATCTGGGTGACACAGTTGGCTGCATCTGCATCCGCGGTGATGGAGATGCTGACCCGGCTGGCATTACCGACACCTGAATACCTGGCTGGTGCATCTGACCCAGCATCTGCATCTGACCGAAGCCGCCTATTTGGGGCACGTGAATCTGCGGGTGAATGTGCGGCTGCATCCCCGGGTGCCTTCCTGGCCGGCCGCTATAGTTGTTAAGCTCGGTCTCCCCGAAGCCCATCTCGGCCGCGAACTTAGCCTGCTCGCGAGCCTCTTCTATGAAGCCCTCTTGGCTGCTTCTCATGCCAATCACGGTAAGCAGTATCGCGGCAAGCTGGAGGACGCACGATACCCACATGATTACGTAGCCATACGTGGCCCCAGCCGCATGGCTTGGGCTCAAAATGCCAGTCTCAGACAGTCCGCCACCGTGCCGCGAGGAACGAAGTGCAGCGTCCTCGTGTCCCCCCGAGCTCTTCTCAATGAGGATGGCAACAAAAACTACGGAGCCGAGGCCCCAGACTTCGAAGTTCCCCAGGGCACCATATCGGGAGACTCTTGAGACCCAGCGGCCTCCGAAAAGGCTCCCAGGAGGCCCCAGTCAAGGAGGTCCCCAGGGAGGCCTCCAAGAGGCCCCAAGGAGGCCTCCGAACAGTTCTTGGTCGCGATGACGCCCGTGGCTGGCCCCGCCCCCTGTCCCCCCCCCCCCGGCGGGAATCGGGGCGTGGCCGTGGCCTGCTCACGTCACCCGTCGCGCCCGCGCCGTCCGGGAAGAAACCTCTCCTATGAGACAAGCGCGCTCCACTACTGCTCGCAAGGCAACAAGTGCCTTGGATCCGCCGAGGGGAGTTTACGATCCAGCGATCCAGTACATCGAGGAATACGTGTGTCTTTCGCACGTTTGCGAGTAGGCACTCTGCGAGCAGTGGAACGCGCTCGGTGACGTATGCAGTCCCCAATAGCGCCGGCGCGAATCGTGACAGGACCGGCCCACTCCCCCAGTCACGCCCGTGCTCGCCAGGGGATACAACAAAAACCTGAAGAGGCTTCTCAGAGCCCTCTCCCTCAGATCGCACGTTGCCGAAAGCCTGCGACATCACAAAAAAGTTGCGACCCGAGCCCCAGACCCCATCTTCCGGCGTCAATCTTCGAGCCGAGTCGATGTGTGAGAGCCCCAGGGCCCGAAACGTGGCGAGAACGCCCGTTGTGGGAATTACACCAGAGAAAAAAAAACAACCGGTGGATGGTTTGATCGATAAAAAGATCGACGGGGAACCCGGGAACCCGGAACCCACCGAAATCGGCCTGGAACCAATAACCAGAACCCGGGAACCCGGAGCTGGGAACCCGGGAACCCAACTGGCTACCAAAATCGGCGGGAAACTTTCTCCAAATCTTTCAATTCCCGCTAGGACCCCTTCAGTGCAAGCACTGATTGGGGGAAAATGCAAGGACGCCCAGTGTCTGCCCACGACCGAGCCAGGGGCGATGGCGGGCCGGGCCGAGGG